ATGCCCACCCTTTCTTTTACCACAAAATGTACATTTCCCACATCAGTGTGGTTTCCATACAGATCCATAGCATAAATTACCTAATATGTTATTCATTTTTATACATACTTTGTCTTCTTCAAATGCTTTATTTGGTAAGGCACATGTAAAAGGTCAGTGAGAGGTTGGAATGTGATCTGTCCCCTAACCTAATACCCAGCCCCCCACACCCTAGGGCAACCACACGGATGACCAAAAATCCTTGACAGAAGAGATAACACCTGGTACAGGCTATTTTTGGGTCCTTCCTTTTAAATTGTTTATATATATGTACAAGCTATAAGTTATAATAACTGAATTGATCTGTCTTGTCACAGGTAGAGATCAGTAAAATGCTGTCATGTATTGTCATATAACAGTCTAGATCATGCTATCATGCTAATCTACATATGATACACTCATGGATGTAACAGTGAATGCACAGCTGCCTGCTAGATGACTAAGATTTATATGCTTACCAGTAAATTAATATAAATATAGGTATATAGATGAATGGTAAGGGGAGACTGTTATTTCCAAGTAAAACAGCTTATTTTAACAGTAAGCTATATTTCAATAACATAAAAAACAAATATAATATGACACCGTATGGATCTCTAACCCTTATACATTTTTATTGTGTGAACTTTGAGAAGAGGTTCATATATATGTACATGTATTTGTATGTACTAGTATGTGGACTACCCAAGGCAAAACAGATACATTTTCTAACTGCAGTATCCTTAAACAATTTCTAAAACTTTGTGTCTTGTTCATTTATACCCCTGGGCTAGCAAAATTAAGCAAGTTAAGAAGATTAACTGCTCTCTATTCCCTAAACTCTTTTCTGCCACAACCCTCATAATTTCTTTTATGTAATCCCCCCACCCCAATACTGTCAATGGCATCAACAACACCCTAGGGTTTCTACAGGTTGTTGACAGTGTCACCAACCCTCCAGTCGAAAAGAAAAAGAAAAAATAATTTTTATGCAGCACCTCAAAACTTTACAATGAAAAATTTACATGTCCAACATTAAGACAGCTTTAATTTTGTTTTAACTACATCATGGTTTTTAATAAAACACAGAAAGCACTTGGTGAGCTATTTTCTGTTTCCTGGTTTAATATTAATGAAGAACTCAATCCTAAAATCAATAAATGAGATGGAAATAGAGGATCTAGCTATATGGATTATGTATAACTGACATCAGATGCAGGTAGAGTATTGTCATATTAACCCGTCTCTTGTAGAAGCAGGTACTTTGATAAAACTACAATCTTTATGATCATGTTGACTGCCACTGAGTTTTTCGTGGAAGCGGGATCACTGATCACACCCATCTTGTTAATAAGTGACTACTATAGATGACAGATCAATATGTTATTGACTGGATATGGGCAGGTCACATTCCACCCTGGTTTTATCTCATGTCATGTGTCTCCAGCTACACGTTACCTTTGCCTTACATGAGCGCAGGCATCATGTCATATGCAGCCCAGCTTGACAAGTTCATAACCAAAGTCCTGTCGCGGCAGATGTAGCCAGACTTGACTATAAATGCATGTGCTCATGCAGCAACAATAGGACTGAGACACCTGCTTTGTCTTTCAAATCCCATCTGTCACATTAACTGGTTTACCTGAGTACGTAGCTGCCACTATACTGTTAGCAGGAACTTGATTTAACTAAGGTTTCTTCAGTCGTTAACCCTACGGATAAACTTGACTATTTAATTCACGTTTTAATTCAACGTAAACTTTACAGTGGGTATCTTACCTGTTGATAATTCTAAGTATGTATCCAGCTACTGTATTTCACTGTTTTTGGTGGTGAAAACTGCGTGTGACATGAAGGCAATGACGAGCTCAGCTGCTGGCCGCCTTTCGTTTATCGATTATTGTTGACATATGATTCAACCGATACAGGTGCTCCAAGACAAGCCGATCGAGTTTTATGTAAATACTATAATTGCATTTATGAATTGATTTAGTTATTTATTTTATAATGAAATGAATTGTACAAAATTTGATGTTTTTGTTTGGTGCTTTGGTCAAATCGTACAAGAGTAAAGCAGAATTTTCATTTTCTGGTGAAAAGAGTAAAAACTGGCATCGGTATTTTGATCCAGCCGTCGCCTACGTGTGTGCGGTCAAGCTTTGCAAATCTCTGGCGCCCTTTTTTTCTAACAGGAGAAATTTAATATTAAAATACAATTATATCCATTATATGAACAAAGCGTCTTTAGTAATATAGACAAATTGTCATTTATATTACAAGTAAATGAGATATTTTATCATAAATGTACAATAAACTGACATCACGCCTTCTTTAAATAATCCTGGATCCGTCCCTGATTATTATTATTATTATTATTATTATTATTATTATTATTATTATTATTATTATTATTGTAGTTGTTGTAATATGCTGGGCCTATTCTGTTAAACAAATGCATAGGCCCTATATTTCGCATTTTGACTGATAAAAATCAAAATTAAGTCAGCTTTTCAGGAAAATTTCCTGACACCAGGTTAGGGCCTACAGAAATAATTATGATAAAAAAATAGGCCTACTATGAAACGGCATTGAAAGATCTCCAGGTGAGGGAGCTCTGATCTGTTGAAATGTATAACCTAAAGAGAGTTTTCACCCCAAAATTGCTGCTGTAACGCCATCAGCTCGAGTAAATGTGTTCCCCTGATCAAGGAGTATAACAGTCTGTTATAACTCCTTGCCCTGATGTACTTTTGATGTGAGAGCATTACCTCATAACATGATGTGTTAATTCCGCAATTATCTAAGCAGATAAGGGAAAATCTTAATGATCCCCTTTTATAGCAGCCTAAGAAATGAGTGGTTATTACCATGTGTAAAATTCTGACAACTGGATATTATAACCCCGAATATAAGATTGGGTTATTAAAATAGGGGCGAATCCAGGATGATGTGATGGGGGGAAGGGGGGTCCGCGGATGCGAAGCCGACCCCTCCCCCCTTTGGCGTGGGGCTCGGAGCCCGCTGAAGTGTCCCGGAATATTTTGGTATATTAAGAGGGCGAACGGTGCCATTTGGTAAGGTTAAAATTATGATTCAACTAGTCGAAATTTTAATTTCATGAGGGGACCATTGGTGTAATTTTTTTCAGAAATCGAAGGGGGGTCGTAAATAAATAAATTTAGACTGCGTTAAAAGGGTATTACGAGATGCATGCGTACATCACTGACAAATTTTGTCCTCTAATTCAGTTTTTTTCACAGTGCTTGGTAAAGCTTAACGAAGGCTTTGAAAATTATTTTTCTTGAGGGTGCAGTTTGCCGTTTTTCGCGTAAAATATTTGACTGCGCCCTATCACTAGACCTACATGTATATCGTCTTGCTTATAATTGATGTAACTGAACTGAGGAATTCATTAATGGCTAAAATATTGGAAAAAAGTCAAACAACTAAAAATAATGATCTGCACCATAAGACGTAACAAAGTTTGTTTTTTTTTCCAAAAAAAAAAAATAAAATAAAATAAAAAAATAAAACCTGGCTACACCATGAAAGTAGCTCGAAGCTTCCTCGATTTATTGATTTATTTGAAATAAACATTCTAGACATTTTCTTAGACGTTAGACACCATACTCGCTTACTGACAAGTTGCAGATTTTCTTATTTAATAAAAAGAAACTAGATCCATTGGAGAATGTGAGATGGTGCTACGATCGAAAATAAGGGAGTAATTTAATGAATATGTCCCTTTTTGAATTTTGTGTGATAACAGATAAATCTAGTAATTGTTATTTTTATTTTTATTTATTTATTTATTTATTTATTTATTTATTATTTTGTTCATAGGCATTTTTTAATTTTTTTCCAGAATGTATCTGAGCAATTATAAATTATATAAAGCATACACAGTGGACTAGACAAACCACTCTTGTAGGCCTACATGCAAATATGCATCTATCATTGCACAAGAAATCACTGCCATGCATAATGAATAGCTCAGAAAACAAAATAACCTCCTTTTTCAAGACTAGTCCTTGTAGTTTTCAACACAACAATTTACTTTTTTAAGTGAGTAATTAGACATTTTGAAATATTATATGAAAAAAAAAAAACATAGCTCATCCAACTGTGTTAGATGTGACAGCAGAAGTGCGCATGCCCAGTAATAAACAGGAAGTAAACATCAGTCGAAATGGCAGACGAAGATCAAGCAGACGGAAAATTTATGGACGACGAGAACGAAGTTGGTGAAAACTCTGCGTCAAAGGATGGTGCGTAGACTTAAGTGTTAAAGTTATTAATATCCTTCTGCAGTCCTCTAATGAAGCCATGTGACCATGCCACTTGCTTAATTGTAAGCAGTTCGTCAGTGTACAGTGTACGGATAGAGTATAAATATGTTGTGAGATATTTAACAGGTGTCCGTTCACTGGTGGCAGTGCAGTGTAAATAAATAGAACTGCGCCACATTTCAACATACTCTTTTAAACGTAGGGTGTATTTATCGAAAAAACGAAATAAAAAATACCGACTTCTTTATTGATAAACACCTTCACATATAATGTACAATTATCAGATGATGGACTGAATAGGAGATTGAATACGTCATACTACATCAAATAAAAAAAAAAAATAAATAAATAAATAAAGATAGATAGATAGATAGATAGATAGATAGCAGCACAATTACATAGAATACATGTGAATTAAGCATTTTATTATCACACGGTGTGTTAGGTTTGATCCACTCGCCAAGTCAGTTGCTTACAGTGAGTGGATGGCACCCAAACATCAGGGTTATTAGAATAACAATGGCAGCATGATACACAATAGTAATAATAGTGATGACTAAACCTAAGGTCAAATTTGAGTATTACTGGGACATATGAGCTAGGCTCTTCTTTCCATGCACTTTTGGGCGAGTATAAAAAGTAGCTTTACTATATGTGTCAAGTTCCCCAGATCCCTTTAGCCTAANTTTATACATCATATGATCTCTTGAGGTGTTATAAATGAGCAACGATTACACACTGTTTTAACAATAAATTATAATAAGTTTTACATTGTTCTATTGTCATTTTTTTGCCTACAAGGGATATATGAAAATTAAGAGTGTTTTTCAACACTTCAAAATTACAAAAACAATGGGAATTGTACTGTTGTCACATATCCAATAGAGATTAACGACAACTGATAACATGATGAGGTACTAATATTATTATCAGTGATCACAAAGAAAGTGAGATATGAAAAATAATTAATAAGATAGCGTATGGCACATAATTGCTCTTTAAGTGACACTTCTGTCAAATAAATTCAGTTGTTTAACTAAGAGCAGCTTTTGATACAGAATTTATACAGCATATGTAGGAGCTGAAAATTCATGAATAATCTAGAAGTTGAAAAATATATATTTGATTTCACTAGTGGTGGAAAAGTGCACTATCAACAAGTGTAATATACACAATTGCCTTTTTTATCATAAAATCTTTATGTCAAAACCTGTGACAGCCATGAGTAAAACAAAAATAAATCTCATATGTGGTCTGTCACTCCCAAAATCTTCACAACTCCAATGTACCTCATCCAGTTGTCACATTGCACTGCAGGAAGACTGTGTCTCATCTGTTCATAGCACCAATTAGTTAGTTTAAAGTTAAAGAAAAGTATTATGGAGATGTTGGTGTCCTAGAACTGGACTTGGTAGGTGTAGTTGCCGTACCCTCCAGGGCCAGGGTCAGTATAGCTCATAGTACCTTCTTGCCATTCCATCTCTCTGCTAGAAAATACAAAAAAAAAATTATTATTGATATTTACAAAAGTTGTACATCTTTTAAATTTATACTGACTTCATTTTTTGTGACTTCTAACATTCTTTCATCAATTTTTGGAATAAATATTCCAATTTTCATGCCTGCATAATCCAACACAATATACCTTTCAAATCTAAAAAAATTACAAACACATTAATTGATATGAATTAAGGAATTAATATTAACTGATATGTCAATGAATGCATCGATCAATATATCAGTTGAACTTGTTATTCTAATTCAAGGGCAGTGATTTGCAAAGAGTTTCCTTCCAGTGTTACTATAGAGACTTAAGAGTATTTGGCTGAAGTTTAACAGCCTTGCAGCAGAGCTGTCATTTGGGTCTCTTTACAAGTGCTACGATTCAGCACGGTGACAAATATTCTAAATTAAACACTGTCATTTATCTTCATTACACAGACATGATTTGCATATTAAAACAAGTCACTTTATGAAGCTTTGGCAAGGCTTAGGAATAACAGTGCTCAGATGGACTTATTGAACAAATAGGTAGAAAAACATCAAAAGCAATCAAAACTAAAATGTGCTCATGAAATCTGTTAGTATCTATATCTCTAAACTTTTCTACATATGCATGAAAAGTAAACAGAATAATAGCACATAAATCTAAAGGTGTGCACACATCTAGGTTATACTTGAATACACACAGTGGGTAGTGTGGGGACATAGGACCTGTTCACTATGAATTTATTAACCTAGCTACTCCACACTAACTCCATGGGGACTCTTGCTGAATGCAATCAGATTAACAGATTAAAACACCTCCTGACATTGGATAGAGTACAGAGAAAATTGGTCATCATACTCAGGGGCGGATCCAGAGCTATTTACTGACAGTCTTCCAAATTATCTTTGTTGATTCATCCTTCAATTTTGACCGTCTTCCAACATGAAAAATTGGATACCCATCAATGTAAACTTGAAAATCTGACCGTCTTCCGGAAGACCCAGAAGACGGCCTAAATCCGCCCCTGATACTGGTACAAGTCACTGAAAACAGTAGGTGTGTCAGTCTGTTAATCTGACTGCATTCAGCGAGAGTTCCTGTGGAGTAAATGCACAGTACTACTCAGTAGCTAGGTAAATAAATTTATTGTGAACAAACCCAAACACAACACAATCAAAGCTGTGCTTGCAATCACTGATGCAATAAAAATAACAGATAAAACACAAAAGTGGCACGCATATCACTAATGCAATAAAAATAACAGATAAAACACAAAAGTGGCACTCATTTTTAAGGGATACTTGCCTGTAAAGAACAGGATTTCTGGAAAAGCATAGACAAGCATATGTTTAACTCTCAGGATAAGCAGGAAATTAAATAAATAAATCTGAATATGGATTGTTGAGACAAGGTTGAGTAGTCTGAAGGGGAGTTTTGGAGCAAGGGGGGAGAAGGGTGGGGGGGGGTGGGGGGGTAGAGGGTGGTGACAGGTATAGGGTGGTACAGTTTGGGTTAACAAGGGCTGTAGAATGGCTGTGGGTGTAAGGTGGTAGGGGTCTGGGGGTGATGGGGGTGCAGGTTGTCAAGGGGGGGGGGGGGTAAAGATACAAGAAATAGTGCCAATTACTAATATCAATGAAAGTAAAAAGTAATGCACAGTAATTTGCCTGGGAAATGCCTCCATCTGAGCCTAACGAAGTGGGCTTATATAGCAGTAACATATGTCTCTTCTTCCACAGCTTTGTTTTATAACTATCTGTAATTTTCACTGGCAGTATAGAGATCCGAGTCTGTGTATTGGTAGAGTACATTTTTAAGCTTCATGTTATATCTGGTTGTGGAATTCATTGCCATCAACAGATTAACCAAACATTGGATGTGAACTTAATGATGAAAAAAAAATATGTACTACTTACGTGGCCTCTGGAATGTCTGAAATATGAGGAAAGGCAATTAAAATATTTGAAGCACAGCTCAATATTTCATTTCAAACACAAAATAAAATTAGTTCTGCTACTTGAATTTAAATAAAAAGCTTTTAAAGCAACAATCACAACATTGTTTTATCTAAAAACTAATTATCTTTAGGTTACATCAACTGGTTTTATTACTTACATGGAGCACCTGCAGCTTTCTGATAGCTGAAAGAGGAAAGATTTGATGTTTAGTTTTATGACATTTCAGTGCTTATATTAAAAAATATAATACCCTCTAGTCAAAGAAAAAAATGGCCACATTTAGGCATTAGTTTTCTCAGTATTTATTTTGTGCAATGAAAGCACAGTTTAACATGACACTGTACATGTAAAGAGGAGATGTCCTTTTATCAGAGATGATGACCATGATGATGACAATGCATACATTTAATTAGTAAACAAAAACAATGCAGAATACACACACTTTTACTGGAGATACCTTCACTAACTCTCAACACCTGTACCTTAGTTAGGAACATTCAGAATGAGTTATGTCAACCTGTGCTAATGTGTACTTACTGCACAGGGACTCTTGCTGAATACAATCAGATTAACAGACCAACAAATCTCTTCCAGTTTCAACATACTTGTATATAATCACCAGCTTCTCTGTATTCTACTCAATGCTGGGAGTCATTAGCGAGGGTAGGGAATACCCCCTTAATCACCAATCACCAAGATTAAAACAGCTCAATCACCAATCACCAAGCTATATTCAGGCCAATCACCAAGAATTCCTGAATCAGGTTACATGCAGAATATTGGGCTCAAATAACACGTCATGCTCAGTAAATATAAGGCCAATCACACTGAACACAAAAGGTATACCACATTAGCTACACTGTAGGTCAACATGACTCATTCTGAATGTTCCCAGCTGACAATAAAGAAAACATCTCACCTGTTCCAGCAGCAGCAGAGAAGGATGATACCTATAATGGCCAGAAGTATCAGGAGGGCAGCCAGGGCCACTAGCAGCCACCAGAGCCAGCTGTAACCCCCAAAATTTGTGGTCTGGGCCAGGGCTGTGGGATTCACACAGTTCTAGAGAGGAAAGACACAGAATTAATAATATTTACAATAACCTTTATTGTTTCTGTGTTGTTTATTTCCGTCAATTTTTGACAGAGCATATTATATCTAATAAATAAATAATATATTGAGCAATTCCTTAATTTTCTGGAACAGATATGAGAATAAATTTATAATATTATTGATCTATTGTATTATCCCCAACATCATTGATAATCACTGTGGTTTTCTGGAAAAGCAGTCTGACAACCCACTTACCTCGCCTCCTCCCCCCCCACACACACACAACCTCTTACCTCGACCCCTGAGACCCCATTCAGGGCATATAACCTCTGCAGCTCGTAGTTTTGACTATTTTGTAGTTCCTTTCTGGTCTGATGTTTTGGCTTGACCTCTGACCCTTTCACAGCATGAAAACATACATCAGTTCTGGAAAAGACAAATATCAGTCGACATTAACTTTTTTATGTTGCTATTATAGCTATTATATACTGTAGTTCATGCTGCTAATGCTATTCAAGTTCATGTACAATTCACAATGATTTTATCATTCAATGAAAAAAATCTTGTTATTTGTCTGTTTAATAAGAGCTTGGTATATTTCCACACTGTATATCACTGTCTGTTCTTCTGAAGTTATTTGTCTCTGTTAATCATTAGATATGGACTCATATCATGTGTTTGCCTCATTTTGGGACTTATACAAAGACAAAATTACAGCTGTTGGATGTCAAAATCGAGGCTGACATATGGATGGGAATGGCTCACTGCAGGTTAATAAAGACCCATATCACATGATCAAACAAGTAGTATTTTTAAGTTATGTGTACTTGTATACATCCCTACATCTTCATTACAACAGGTGGCAGCACTTACTTGTTGGCATTAATGTTGCCATTTTCATCAACATGGTGGGAAATGTCATCTGGTTTCACCTCAAACCCAACGATTGGGACAAGTTCTCTGGAAAAAAACTTTGCTTCATTATCAAACTATAAATGTTGAGAATTTCACATATATACAGTCATGGCTGCTATTATGTTAAAAATTATATGTCAAAAGTTCCTGCTTGCATAACTACGTCATTTTATATAGAATGCACTGCTTTGATTGTTTTTCGAGTTTTCTGAAGAGCGCTAGTATAAATTAGTGAACATACTTGAGGAAATCATCCAGTTTGTCTTTGACTTTATTGGGATCTTCATCAAACACAAACTTCAGCTTCTCGTAGTCCTTGATAACATAAACCTGAAAACACAGTTCATTCTCATTACAAGATTTTACTAAGTAATAAACAACAATTCGTTAACTAATTGAACACTTCTGCAGATTTCAACTGAGGCTAATGAAGGACCAAGGTAATATTGGCAATAATAATTTCACAATAAATCAATAATATCTGTATTACCACTGTCTCCTAATTAAAGCCATCTATAAAACATGAAAAATAACATACCAAAACTTGGGCAGTGTCTCTCCTGTTCTTGGCATCTCTGACCTGTACAGAAATGTTGAAGAAGCCATTGATGAAATCGGTGAATTGAGAAAAGTTAGTTCTGATCATTCCAGTGTTCTTATCAATGATGAAAGCTGACCGGACATCACGGTTGGGTGGGTACTTGTTCCTCACATAATTAATATCCGTAATGCTGTATAGTATCTTGTCTTTACCAACTAAATCTGGGTCATGTGCATACACCTTGGTGACCTCACTGTGGTATAGCGCAGTATCCAAGACGGCTGAAACAGAAATAGTTTTTACATTGGTAATTACGACAATAAGCACAGGCCTGATGTTCTTTATGTGTTAATTGTATGTGTTCATAACACAAATCATACATGTACATGTAATACTGTCCTGACAATGTTCTGAATTAAAAGCACATTTCATTTTTGAAGTATTATGTCTATTAAGACAGGAGCAGTGCACTTTGATAGAGATAGCTGCCGGTAGCAAAATATTCAAATGTTCACTGATACCAAGTATTAATCTAACCAGTATAGAAATGGAGATGTTGGTTACATAACTTTTACCACTGACTGTAACTGACATTTAATAAGAAAACAATGTTTGCAGAAATACTAGTACTGGAAGTACTGGACCAAACAGTTAGAGAATGCACAAATGATACTAAATCTTTAGAGCACCCAAAGTATCACTTACTTGTGGTGACAATCTTCCCAGTCCCTCTATCAAACCTTGGTGGCTCGTCATCCTCATCCAGAACATTAATGATGTACCGGATAACAGCAGATCCACTAGTAGCCACAGGTGTGTCTCGGGAAGGATCCAAGACTTGTATGCACAGCTCATAGCTGGCTTTCAATTCACGATCTAAAATTCTCTTTGTTGCAAGTCTGCCAGAGTTGGGGTCCAGAGAGAAGACTTCAGAGTCCCCACCTGAATAATAAAAATTCCTCATAATACATGTCTATATAAACAGCAAAAAATATTTTACGATAGGAATATCTACACAAAAAGAGTAAAAATAACAATTTTTCGTTAAAGAAAAAAAAACATTGCATTTTATGGAAAATAGATTGTAGCTTTCATCCTAAAAATCAAAACCCCTTCAATGAAATATTCTGCCTCATCTCTGAAGATGTAATAGAACTTCACTTACAAGTAATCCTGTATGCCATGACATTATTGGGACTGAGATCAGCATCGCAGCCTTCAACTATGGCGACCTCCGTCTCTGGAGGCTGGTTCTCCATAACGCTTACAGTGACTGGGTCTCGCAGCTGAAGATTTAAGTCAAAACAAATTTAGTTTTTCAACATGTTCTACCACATTGCTATTACTTTTTATCTGCCAGGTAAAATATGACATAACTGACAAGAAAAACATATTTATCATGTGACATTCAAAATGACAATGTAACTCAAATTCATTTTCATAAACAATTCTTATGTCTAGAAATTTTGTCTATTGTGATATAAATGCACAATTAAACATATTTTGCGTCCTTTGAAAACATCTGGATATCTACTGTACCATACCAGTGCCACAGACTCAGTGTTTTTCAAAAAAAAATTGAAATCACTCACATCCCTGCAATCTCTGAAAGTCGGCTGGTTGTCGTCCAGATCTCGGAGCCGTACCAGCAGACGGCGATGGGCTTCCTGGGGTGGGACGCCATTATCTCGAGCTATAACAATCAGCTGCAAAACAAGCACACATACATTGTACACTTTTGTAACTAAACTCATTGCTTGATTCAACAAATAAAGAACTTCTTCAAATATATTACTGATTTAATTTTAACATATGTTAATTGACTGGAGTTATATAATAAGCACAAAATTCCAAAATACCTTTTATAAACAAAACAAACACAACATTCTCATCCTTAATACATCAACACAAGAACATTCAAAATACTGCTGAATGTAGATTCACTATATATTTAAACATTTATTGTAAACACTAGCTGTCACAATCAAAACTTAATGGCACTTAAGGTATACATAGCCGGGGGGGGGGGGGGGGACGTTCAAACAAACTTCCCTTTTTGTGGAAAAGGGTCCACTCTGCATAAAAACTGATTTAAGTGTGTGAAGGTTTTATGGTAAACTCAGCCCCACTTTTTCAGAAAAAAGAAACCCTCCTTCTGAAACACCTGTCTATGGGGTTGTTAATAGCACATACTAACTTCTTACCTCATAGACCTCCTTGGTCTCCCTGTCCAGCACTTTATCAGTGGTCACTATACGTCCACTAGTGGGGCCTATTCTAAAGTACTGATGGTCAGGGTGAGTGTCACCACTTAGGAACTGGTATGTGATCACGCCCGCCTCCCCACTGTCTGGGTCTGACGCAATCACCTGTGTGACAAACGTGTTGGGGGCTGTGTTCTGAAATAAAACACTGTATCCATTATCCATTGTTAACTCTATCTCGCCTCCCTTCCTCAGTAATGTTGAACTGTATCCCATCTCCCTTCCTCAGTAATGTTGAACTCTATCCCGTCTCCCTACTTCAGTAATATTGAACTCTATCTCGCCTCCCTTCTTCAGTAATATTGAGCTGTATCCCATCTCCCTACCTCATTAATGTTGAACTGCATCCCATCTCC